TTTATTCGGTCCTATGTTAACATATTCTATACGAGCTTTTAAGCTATCCATTGCTTATATTATTGGACCATAATAAATTGTAACAATAAAAAATATTTTTAGACATTTAGCCAATTTCAATAATTATTACATTTTAGTTCTGTGTATTGTGAACAGAAGTATGAACATGAAAAGGCATCAGAGTTTTAAATTTTTTTTATAAGCATTTGAATTAATGCCTTTTCAAAACTCTTCTAATTTATTTACAGCATATTTTATGGCACCCTTTTTTTATTATTTGAATGAAACCCAAGTACAAAAAATATAAAATTAAATGAGCTAAAGGTTCAATTCAAAGCCAAAAATATTTATTTCATAATTTAATCAGATAGGCGGCGCCATCAGTTTTAAAAATTAAACAGATCTTTTGTAACTCTCGCACTCCACCTTTTAATCTTTTTCATAGATGCTTATAGTCTAATCGACAGTAATAAAGATTTTAGCGTAATACAACTTTTGCCTACTCAATGATGGAAACTTAACCGCAATTAATGTATTGTGACGTGTATTTTTTTCTTTACCTTTATGTTTGTAGCTGTCTACACTCCTTCATCGTGTAAACTCTTACAAAGCCAAAAACAATCCTCCAGCACGCGATATGCTTAAAAAGCGGTACAAAATCATTTCTTCACATCTTGATAAATAATTAATATTTCAGAACAACTTTTTACACAACGTTTTCTAGTCCCAAATTAAACAACGTTTGTACTACGGGTACTAGATAACTGATAAACATACTTAAACATACTTTTGTAAATAAATACATGTTATAAATATATAAACACCCAAAAACTGTAGAAACACTATGTTCATCGCACAATATTTTTCCAGTTATGGGGGTCGGACCTACAACCTCTGGTGCAAGAGGCAGGGTCAATACCCAATAGGTCAATCGGGTCGTCGACATGAAAACAGTTTTAAAACAAAATTAAGTGATAGGGTTTAAATTAAAATTTTCAAATTTTCTTCGCTTTATTCTACTTCGTGTGACATAAACATATAATTTTATTGTTATTACCTTTGAAATAACAATAAAATTTGCGACAAGGATTTCGAAGTAGTTATGCTATGTTTTAAAATAACATTACCAACTGAAATATTGTCACTGACAACGTCAAGAAAAATTAAATGTTTTATAATTCAAAATTATAACCAAAAGTTAATCTTACAACATGAAATTATTAATAGAAGCAACCCAAATTAAAACTAAATATTAAACACCAGTTTTTAATGGCTCCTGATAAATTGGTTTAAATATCTCATACTATTTTTTCTTAACATTAAATATTTTAAAAACTTGGAATTAAATAGAAATAAGAAATAAATTTAAGTATGAAAACGTAATGCTCAAATAGTGCATTTATTTATGCTATTATATTTGCACGTTAGAAGAAATTAAATATACAGGTTTTAAAAAAGCTCTAATTTATTTAAAATCATATGCCACTGAACAATTGACATACTCGTATTGTTGTTAGGGCTGTTTCAGCGTTGATATCTGTTCCCCCATTATTCAGCGGATTAGCTATTCGTTGAATGAGTGCAGAATATTCAAAAGAATATTATTGGATTTTACCTAATTCCAATCAACGTTATACATTGGCCTTATCATTTCAATTTGCGCGTTTGTTATTCTTACCTTGTTATACCGAAAAAAGAAACATGTATACCTAAATATTAAATTTAAAAACTCAATAAATTGAATACCTGTGTATCGTGTAAGCTGCAATAAAAGAGTTCATCACTGCTACATGCCTTGTTGTCATGTACCATGTTGCCCAAGAGCAAATTTTCGTCCCGCACATAGTTTCAAAGTTAATTCCGTGGGTAACATTATTATTCTTTGTTGGACAACTCATACATCGTTCGACAGATCACCTTACTCTTGAAATACTGAATCAAAACACAAAATTTTTACGTGCCAGTTGTTTCAAATAAGTATGCATTTAGACAAAAAATATTTTAAAAGCCTAATACCACGTTTAAAACATTAAATCTTAGCTTTACCAAACTATAAATCTGAGCTACTCTACAACTTTCGAACATTGTTGTCCAATGCGCCCTTTACCCCTCCTTCTAATGAAGCCAATTTCCCGGGCTTGTCTCCACCTTGCTTTCCTTTAAAATTTTCTCGCGTATTTTCCGTATCATCTATCTCCTTCCATAATTGCGCGCTGGCAGATTGCTTTACATTCCGAATTTCGATCTCACGAAGTTAGTAAACAGTTTTTTGGGTTAATAAAAAAATTGGAAACGTAAATTTTATAAGTAAGTACAAATTTTATTTTAACATAGTTAAATATCATTTAAGCCTTGTTATTAAGATTTACAGAAATCGGAACAAAGAGTTGATTAAATTAAGCTAAACCATTTGTGTTCAACATAAATTATTCAACCTAACACAAAATTAGATGCTATTGTCCACTGTCAATATTAATTTTAGTGATAATTAAACCCAATTGCTATATTAAATTTTTTCTGTTTTATCATTAAAAAATAACATCTTATGCAAAGCTTTTTTGCATATCTTTTATCAGAATGTCTTTGATGTGTAATAGTATTCACAAATACAAATTATATGTAAAAAAAGTTTATTTCATAACTTATTTTACACAATAGATTAAATTAAAAGTCAAAAATCAGTGTATTATACATATATTATACATAAGAGTCGGACCGATGCACGAAGGGTTACGGACCGTTATCTATAAAAACGGCAAAACAATCATGTTTGTTGTATGGGGCTCCTCCCACCTAATATTTTTTTATTCTGTTTTTTAATATTTTTTGTTATAGCGGCAACAGAAACACATCATCTGTGAAATTTTCAAAAGTCTAACTATCTCGGTTCATGATTTACAGCCTGATGACAGACGGGCAGACGGACAGACAGACAGACAGCAGAGCCCTAAGGCTTACTAATAATAGCCCGTTTTCCCCTGGGGTACGGAACCCTAAAGATAAAAGCAACAAGCAATAATTTTCTTTAATGATAATTTAGACATATTACGCCAATAAAATCACAACAGTATTATTTTTATTAACTCTTAGCTGTAAAAATGTAAAGTTTGTAGCTAAGCCCCCAAAAAGTAATAAAACATTGAAAATTTGGCTCCGGCTACCTCACTCACCAGACGAAACGCAAAAGTATTTGTCATACTTCCACTTGACGCTCGTCTTCTGCGAGGTCGTGGTACTTACCCGGACGAGCCTGCCTATTCGTGCAACAGCCGAGGCTGTTGCGTGGCCCTACCACCGTGTAAAACCTTATCCTATAATAATAGACATTTCTAGATCAATAATAGATAGACATAGCGCCAATATTTGTAATATTTTTAAATGATGTCCTTGATGGACTGAACAAATGTTAGGTTAACATCCGTCACTTTATTTTGGCTTTATGCCTAGAAGCTATTACTTTCGAAGCGTATGTAAAATACTCTGAGGATACAGCTTTAAAAATCTAATTTAAATAAAATCTCGATATATTTAAAAACATATTACTCCGCAGCGACTTCTTTACTTTGCAAAATCGCCGCGTTTATGAAGCTTGCCTATTTGCATTTCACGGCCCTTTCATCTCTGAAGATATTTCGGAGCGAGTCCTCTCTTGAAGTTTATGCTAGTTACCTCACAAGTCAGCTGCATCGAATTTATTTACTTTAAAAGTGTAAACATGATACAGTAAATATGTGTATAATGGAATTGTATATATTTTTTTAATAATATAATCTTATGATGTTAGAAATAATGAGAACAGTTCGCCAACTCAATGTTCAATCTAAAGACTTGTCAAAATGTACACAAGACTTTTTTTTTTTTAGTATTAATCATCACTTTCTAGATATTTAAAAAATACTCGTCATTGGTAAAATAAACATTATGACATAATGAGAAAGTTGCGAAGATCCGCAAGTTTGTTATAGGTAAGCGTATCAACAAAATTAATTAATTTATTTATTAACAAAACCTTACAATATCATAGATACTTAATCTAACACAATAGTACTACAAACTACAATACATAGAAAGACAAAATAATAACTATACTAACTAACCTAACCTAACTATATTTAATATATCCGGAGAACACGAGGATATATTATCTGCAATCTAAGCAATTATATTTAAATTGCACAGTGCACGCGTCTACGGCGCATCATTTAATATAAAAAATTAACACATTATTGTCACATTAGTCATGTGCCTGTATTCTTCGAATAATTCGTGACCACCGACGTAAAGCCTACATAAAGAGATAAAAATATACGAAAACAGCGACCGGCACAGCTCGACACAGCGTCGCGTTACGCCGTCGTATATTTCGCAGGAGCAGAACACTTAACCACATTTCTTGACGTATATGCCGAAGCTAGCATCGGAACCACTTCACGTGATACTTGCCCGTTTTTATAAGTTGGTGTTTCCACGCCACAATATGATACTACGGCACAAGCTAGTACGTGTCCTGAATAAAATATAAACATTTTTAAACATTACCAGAGCCATATGATAAATATTTCATTTCGGGGAAAAGCATTAAAATAACAATTTCTTGTTATATTTCTGGATACGAAACATTCAAATTTTTTTAATTAAAATCGTTGAATAACTTTAATTTGAAAACAATATTATTAAGGTTATCTGTTTATCTGTTGAACTTTGTGGTCTTTTTATGTGAGTAGCAAATGAGCTGCCGGTTTGCCTCAAATGTTAAGTGATAACCGCCGCCCATGGACATTAGCAAAACTCTTATGGGTGTAGATTCGTTGCCACCTTTTAATAAAGTGGACTCCCAATTCCCCACTCATCAGACGAAACGCGGAAGTGTAATAAAACTTCTACTTCAAGTCAGTCACCTGTGAGGTCGTGGTACTTCCTCAGACGGTTGCTGGCCCGCGAAGACTGTTGCGTGGCCCTACCGCAGTCAAGTGGTAGCCTGTCTTCCTATTAAATCAACAATGATGGGAACTTTACACGTAGCTCCCATTGACTTGAGTCGTGACAAAACTCTGGTCCGAACGCGAGCGAAATTGGACGTTAATAAGTTGGGCGTTCGTATAGCGGAACGGCACGTTATCTCGAGGACCCATCGTAGTGTTTGTATATGCGTCCGATTGGTGACGTCTACAACGTGGCACCGCGCGCCGCACGCTAAGCGCTCCGTCGCGATCGCCGCGGCCGCCCGCAGCCATCGCCGCGCCGCCGTCGCCTTCCCCTGATTTATAATGGCAATATAACGCCGACCTGTCATGCAGATATTTTTATAACCTCCATACAGCCGGTGTTCCAAGATTCTCTTACTTGGAATCGTCTGTACACGTTTGCTATTTTGCTATTCGCCTTTTTGTTAATTATAACAAATTGTTTGAAGTGATCTAAAGCCTTTGAGGGCCTGAGGCACGCGAAATATTTAAAAATTTAAATATATATAAAAATATATAAAAATTTAATAACTGCATGTTTCCTAAATTCATGTTACTTTTTTGAGTAATATTAAGATATTTCTCGAACGATGTACTTATTTTTTTGTAAACGAAGATGCATTGCTTATCAAATGTTTTAAACTAGCGAATAAATACGACGATAACATGCCTAATGATATTTGTGTGGTTCCTGTAACTTAAACACTTTACTTAAAACCGTGTGCTAACATTAGACTGTCTTAACAGTGTTATGTTAATTAACTGTAACGTTTGAATGTAAATTCATATCGGGAGAATACAGCAATTATCTAGAAAGTGTTTTAAAATTTAAGACCATTTATAATATCTTGATCTGAAGAAGGTGGACAGGTTATTTTTTTAAATATTATCCCTGTAGTATATATTTATATTCATTTATTATATGTATATTCATTTATAATAATTCCACTGCATTTGAAAACATCATGTTGCATACGTAAACTTGCCATAAAAAAATTATTACGGCAACATTTTTACTTGTCAATCATAACATTTTATAAGTTTTTGAGTATTGCCAATATTCTTTTAAAAGTACGGTGATACTCATGTCTATAAACACTTCTCTATAATATGTTTAATGATATAGAATGATTTTCTGTAATTTTTTAATTTAATTTATATATGCGTTAATAATTATTTCTATCAAAAATTACGTACGTTATTACAAACACAAATCAAAGTAACGTTATTTAATAAGTATCCATGTGATATTAATGAAAGATATTATTTCCCGTGTTAAACTACGTGCTACTTTTCTTTGCATCTCTGGGTACTGTCTCATCTGGGTAAATATTTTGTAAGAAAATAAAAGAAAATGTAATATGCGTTCGTCATTTCTCCGTACGTAACCATAAAATTATACTTTTCACAAAACTGAAGCTCCAACTCGCTTTATAATTAGACGACACGAGTGATAAGAAGCAGACGGGGAAATCCGAACCCTAGCGAAATTAGCTTTATCAAAATCTTATTACGGGCCAGGGGCGCACGCCGGTGGCGGCTCTTCTAAGACCTAACCGCTAATTGGGTTCCATGTTTATACATGACTTCAATTCTCTCAATTTCGCCAGTTGGGGCCTCGCATTTCAACGCTTCGACGCTATTTGCAGCCATTTACAAGCGTTGATAGCGATAGGGATGTAATTGCTCACTAGATAGGTGCACGGTACAGCGCGTACACTCCACGCGTCGTAGTGAATATTGTTGCATTTTGCATAAAATCGATACTCATGAATGTAGTTACACCGAGTCCTCTATAAAGTGGAATGAGATCCTTCAGTCTGATTTCACTGTAATTTCGCGAATGGGCAACTCGTGGATATTCCAAAGCTGTTTATAGCAATTAAATGCTCTTTCTAAACGTTATATCTTTTTAAGTGTTCTCATTGCTATTTTTGTTAACGTTGAGGTCGTTTTTTAGGTTAAAAATTATTTGGTCGTGGCAAAATGAATTTAAGAACATCAATTGTTGCCTTTTTCTGTAGAAAGTGTTTTACGATTACGAACTACCTATAAGTAATAATTCGTAAGGCACTAAATAAATAAATATTTTTAGGACACATTTTTACACAACGTTTTCAAGTCCTAGACTAGAAACATGATAACTCATAAGCATACTTAAACATACTTTTCTTTTGTAAATAAATACATATTATACATATATAAACAGACACACAGACACTAGAAAAGCACTATGTTCATCACACAATATTTTTCCAGTAGTGGGGATCGAACCCACACCTTCCAATGCAGGAGGCAGGTACACTACCCACTACGCCATTCGGGTCATCAGTAATCAAAATAATCATTTTCATTATCACTATCCTTTTTTGGGTCATATCGTATAAGTTTTTTTAATATCGAATATATATTTATATCGATTGTTACAGCTCATAGGCAATGTTCAAAAAAATGTAAAATTGAAAACAATTAAATTATTTTGAGTTTTTCAACACAGGATGGTTAATTCAAAGTGAAAGAGGTAAGTTAAGCGAGCACGAGTGTTGGACTGTGACGCACATCTCGGGAAATCTAATTTGCGCGGTAGGCCAGTCCGGACTTTTGTCACAGCGTACTGCTCCAATTAGATAAATATACGAGTTACCGTGTACCGAATGAGCTGAAAAGGACGTAAAAAGGACGTATCTCTCACGTGCATTTGTAAACACTTAGGACTAATGAATACGCCCGCCGCAATCATATTCCAAATGACCGCACAATCTCGTTGTATTATTAATGTAGCAGAATAATTAATTAACATTATTCGCCATGCTTAAATGAAATGAAACTGAAAGGCATTCAAGTTATTACAATTAAAATGGGTCACGCAAAGCTTGTTTGTCATCTTTACTGACATACAAATTAATAAGGATACATATTTTATTACATACTGAAACCGTAAACCGTTAACGACGAGTAATTAAATTGAAAGATATCTAGAACAATTTTAAAACCTTATTAACAACAAATCTTTGACAGTGTTACCTTTCTTAACCTTTGTTAGTTTTATGCACTTAAAATATCTTCAACAATAATGTAGTTGACATAGTCTGTCCAATGTTCAATATAAATATAGTTACTAATTTTGTGGAAAAAAATAACAGATTGTAAGATAAGAAATATCTAATATCGCAAAAAAGATTTAAAACGCCGCGAGAAAAAGCGAGTTCTGATAGTTGACATAGTAATATTATGCATATGTACTGTCCCACTTGAAAGTGGTAATGCACACTGATATAAACACACTAGCTCAGTAAACGCCTATTCACTCTTGCTTCAAGACAACACGTTGTATACAATGTGATTATTAAATCTTTACAAATTTAAATAAATATTAGTGCTTATGAATCTTCTGTCTTGTATAATATGAAAGAAACTAATTACTTGTTTATCCAAGCTACGTAAGCTCTTTTTTCAATAGAGTCGGAGACGTCGCTTGCAGTGCTGAGTACACGGCCCTGTACGCCAAGATTGATGGGTGTACGATGGATTTGTTCTATCCGCTTTCTCTGTCATCAATCATTCGCGGATATTTGTCCGTGTCTCAGGTTGTTTATTCCAAATAGATTGCTGCAGGCCTTTGAGACCGCATGGACATATTTATTACATTGGCACTGACATTTTGGTTCAATTTAAACGACGCTAATGTTTTCCACAAGTGATTTTTCATTAATACCAAATAAATAATCTTTTGAATGAATGAATGAATGAAATATACTTTATTGTACACAAACAACGGATATTCCATAATCAACAAAAAATAACACAAAATTGTACAATAGGCGGCCTTATCGCTAAAAAGCGATTTCTTCCAGGCAACCTAGTAAAAGGAGATAGTAAAAACAGTAGCATCGGGTATCGGTGTACACTGAATTCATAACAGAACTTTTCATTATTATATCACTCATACCAGTTATTGTTGGAAACGATACACTCGAAGTTGTCGACCACTATGTCTACCTTAGACAATCGGTCCAGTTAGGCAGGTCCAACTTCGACATAGAAGTCACTCGAAGAATCCAACTCGGATGGGCAGCGGGAGTCCACGCGATATATTTTCGTCCAAGATTCCGCAGTGCCTGAAGAAAAGGGTTTATAATCAGTGTGTGTTGCCAGCGATGACTTATGGTACTGAGACATGGTCTCTAAAAGTTGGCCTTTTGGAGAAGAGTCACACAACGAGCTATGTAGAGAGCTATGCTCGGAGTTTCTTTGCGCGACAAAATCCCGAACGAGGAAATTCGCTGAAGAACCGGTGTCGCCGACACAGCTTTTCGAATCTGCAAATTGAAGTGGCAGTGGGCAGACCACATCACTCGAAGAACTGATGACCGATGGAGAGTAAAGGTTCTCGAGTGGCGACCAAGGACAGGAAGACGTAGCGTTGGAAGGCCTCCCTCTAATTGGACCGACGACATCATAAGAGTCGCGGACAACGGGTGGATGCAAATGGAAATGTGTGGTTCGTTGTGGCGTTCTAAAGGGGAGGCCTTTGTTCAACAGTGGACGTCTTGCGGCTGATGATGATGAATCTTTTCATCGTTCCTACTAAAAAGAATTAACAAATATGGCGCACGTATTTGAAATATCTTTCGGTCTAAACGAAAGTCGAACTAATCAACATTGCCCATTCGATTTCTAGACCATAAAGAAGATTATTGTTACATGTAGCTGAATACGTGTCAACTTAGCAATAAAATATAGATTAGTTTCAATATTAAGTATGTTCGGGTCACGAAACGTAGTTGTTTTCTTCAACTTTTTATATTTATTTTAATTTATAACATATTTTATAACAATTTAAAATGTATTGTCTCATATGGATGCATGTATTATATCACTAATTTAATTTCGTAAAATATTTTCTGCTTTTCATCCGAGCGCAAAAGGCAATCTCATTATATTGAAGTGGCACCAAAGCAGATTTGTATTTTGAATGAATCACGACCGTCGAGGGTCCGGAGGACATGAGTGGTCCGATTTATATTATATAAAAGCCGGAGTTTGAACTGAATCCCCTTGGGAAGAATTCTTGTCTAACCTCAAGCAATATATTGTACGAGCGGCCTTAAAAGATAAACAATTTTAACCCATACTACCCGGAGTCACTATGTACGGTCGATATTTTGATTTCTAATGTCATGCGACGTTTCCGTATCTTTATAGTGCTTTCAATGAATAAAATTAAATAAAAATTAGATGTTTTTAAATAATTTTGGGTCTAGTAATACAAAATGAAATATAGTTGTAGGGCCACGCAATAGTCTTCACTGTTGTATGAAGGGGCATGTCCTTTCGGGTACCACGAGCTCACAGAAGTCCTCCGTGAAGTGGAAGTGTTATATTTCTGGTTTCGTCTTGTAAGCTTTATTAAAAGGAGGCAACGCATCATACGGGTGTTGAAATTTCATTATGCGGCGGTTATCGCTTAACATCAGGTGAACCGCTAGCTCGTTTGCCAGCTTCTCACATAAAAAAAATAATGAAAGGACCATTCATATCAACCCCTATCTCGAATGGCATAAATGTTGAATATTAATAAACAGCAGAAGATGTATGTAAAATATGTTTAGAGTTCTACGATAAAACTGCAATCTTAAAGCAACAACTTTAAAAACTTCAAAAAATATAAAATGTTTATTTATACATAAAATGATAATACGATGTTACTACATTCGTAAAATGCACGTACAAAGAAAGGTTACGATTTTGACAACTACTAATTATATGAATTTAGCAACAACAAACAATGCAATGTAAGGAATGGCACTTTGTTTTTGAAATCCTTGAAAGTTAAAATCGCAGTCTCGCAATGCAATAACATCTATAATTTCAAGTCTTAAAAACCAAAGCGAAATGTATTCATAACAGAGGAATTGTTTGTTATAGAATCAATGTTTCCACGTTTCGTGGAACCAGTTTCAAATGTGACGGTGACAGTCGGACGTGACGCCTTGCTTGCATGCGTTGTTGAGGATTTGAAGGGGTATAAGGTACGTATGTTAATTTAACAAAACAAGCTTAACGAAATTCTGTTCCAGAAATAACGTAATGTAACTTACTCGTGAATCGTAGCGAAGCAATTAAAGTATACACATTTTATTCCATCTCTACATTAATACCAATTACGTTAAATATTAAATAATTTACCAATTATTTAAAAAGAGAGAAGGTTACTGTATATTAGTCATTACTAAATAGTTTAAACGGCTAAACTCACGTATAATTACTGTAGGAATTGATTGGACGTGTTAGGTTTAATAATTTAATAGCTACATAAAAATCAAATATACTACTTCAAATTCACCCGGCGGCAAAAAAAAATCTTCCATTGATCTACAAATTTTGATTTTCATTGCATTCAAAAACTAAATAAATCATTTAAATATAGTCTCACAAGATTAACGTCATGAAATCGTTTAGGGCTATTAAAAGTAAAAAAGAAAGATAGTCGTCATTATTAAAATTGAAATTTAATTTTAGGCCATCCGTTAATTACGATTAAAACATTTAATTACATTACGCAAATCTCTATGGTAAACGCTTTTTTATTTGAATGAATTTCGCAAATTCAATCTATTTTATCTTCATAATTAAGAAAACTTTAATGATTTAAAGAAAAACGGAAAATTTAATATTTATAAGTGGGTAATGTACTACTGACACTTTTTACTTATAAATGCTTTCAGTGTTTTGGAATAAGGAATAAGTTAATAAAGTTCATTGGTACTTTGTACTTAATTTATGGAAAATTATCTGTTTAAAATTGCCTATGCGCTGAACCTGGAAGCTAAAATTACATACAACTTTATCCGTGCGGTGCAGTAAAGTTTTAACAAGCCAACTTAATATCACTTTGCTCAGAATGCACGATTCACCAGTTATTAATCATGCAGGAAGGCTAGTTAGCGAAATTGGAGTGTCGTGTAGTGTGGCGAGATTTATATGATGTAGGAGGAATTCACCGGAGGCCGAGTTTCAGAAGACAATTTAATATTCTTTAGGTTGGAATCAAGTTTAACCCCTTCGCAAATAGTCTCTAGTCTATTATCGCATATTATGTACTTTTTAAGTATGTTAAAAATTTAAATGTGAACGCCATAAGAATTTAAATCCAATGAATATCATTGTAATTACTGAGCGAGCTATGTATAAGGTCTTCTCCGATCTCTGTATGAGGTGATACTCTTATTTTCGAAATATTTACCAGTTGTATATATTTATAAAACTGGTGAATATCTTGAAATCAATGTTGAGATTTTAATTTCAATATCATTTTGTCTTTTAGGTTGCTTGGGTAAGAGTTGATACACAAACCATTTTAAGCATACATCATAACATTATAACACAGAATCCTCGTATCAGTCTTTCCTATAATGATCACCGTTCTTGGTACCTACACATAAAGAATGTACAAGAAGTGGACCGTGGATGGTACATGTGTCAAGTCAATACAGATCCGATGCGCTCTAGGAAAGGTTATCTACAAGTCGTCGGTGAGTAAAAAAAATGTTTTTAAATTAATAAATAAATAATAAGCATGATAATGTAATAAGCATAATAAGATACATATCTGTTTTAAAACACGAATTATTTGGCAGTAGCTTGCCTGATTTTGTTCACATCGATATAATAAAAATTTCTGAAGTAAGTAATAAAATTACTTTTTACGTAATATCTGTAAATTAACTTGCTGACAAGCATTCCAGTTCAAGCATGAGATTTCTCTATTAATTGTTTGGGTTTCAGTTTGAAAATCTTCTATCAATAAGAAATCAAAATTTAAACTGTCTGTCGGTATTAAAATTTTGCACTTAAGGACGCAAGTCTAAACGTTTTATGTTACTTTGCTCGATCGTTACTTGAACACGTAGCTCAACTCAGCTGGATATCTTTTTTGTTTCTTTCCATAGTTCCTCCAATGATCATTGACAACATGACTTCAACCGATATGGTGGTGCGGGAAGGTATAAATGTGACAATGTACTGCCGTGCTACGGGCCACCCGGAACCGTATGTCATGTGGCGCCGAGAAGATGGACAGGAGTTCAGCTGCAACGGTGAATCAGGTAATTATTTTACATGAAAAATACCCGTTACTAATTAATTCACATTATTATATACTTAGATAATATGGCGACCCGAATGGCGTAGTGGGTGTGTACCTTCTTGCGCCAGAGGGTGTGGGTTCGATCCCCACTACTGCAAAAATATCGTGTGATGAGCATAGGGTTTTTCTAGTGTCTGGGTGATTATATATGTATAATATGTATTTATTTACAAAAGAAAAGTATTTTTAAGTATGTCTGTCAGTTTTCTAGTACCCATGACACAAGCGTTGCTTAGTTTGGGACTAGAGAACGTTGCGTAAAAAATGTGTCCTAAAATATTTATTTATTTATAGATGATTTAAACTATATTTTTCATATAATCATTACCGTATTGTATAGAAAACATTTAAACTATGTATTTCAGTTAACGTAGTAGATGGTGAAAATTTAACAATATCCAAGGTGTCACGGTTGCACATGGGGGCTTACTTGTGTATAGCTTCTAATGGTGTCCCACCGTCAATTAGTAAAAGAGTCTTCTTAATGGTTCAATGTAAGTAAAACATTATTACGCAAACTATTTAAAACTTAATTTATCTATATAAATTTTATATAACATATTTTGAAAAGCCCACAAATTATGTAAAATTAAATGACATCGTAGTTCTGAGAAATTCGGTAACTTTAATACGTGCCAGTTAATATTTCGCTAAGTAAAACATTATTATACAACCAAAATAGTACTAAATTTGTGTATATAAATTTTATATACATATTTTGGAAAAGCCGACTTGTTATATAAAATTAATTGACGTCGTAGTTCCGAGAAAATCGGTAATTTTAATACATAGCAATTAATATTGCACTAGCAGCAAATTAACGATGGGTTGTATAAAACGCGTAGTATAGACGCACAAATATATAACAAATAAAAATTTAAACATTTGGAAATACCCGTACAATTACACCATACCGTTGATTCGGTTCCAAATCATCTGTGCAAAATACGTGAGCACTTTTTCGCGCCATTCCTTTTGGCACCGTTCAGGGTTCAGAAATATTATTTTTCTCAAGGCGGACGTCGTTAACGAGTATTTACGAGCAAACGCCGCTTCTACCTGACGGGGTCTTCTACCGGCTCCTCCGTAATTGCACCCAATTAGAGCATTATGCTGACGTGAATACGACACGAGGGCGATAATGGTGATACTATCTGTACCCCAAAGCCCCCGCGCTCGTGCCTCCGACGCTTCTCGCCTTGAAAGCCAATGAGATGGTTTTCTTTTGCTTAATTCACATTCCGCATCTCAGTTACTTTTTCCTCCCTCCATTTCTTATAGGTGGTGCGAAATGTTCACGTAACTTTCACTCGATTAACCAACAACACTTCCTTATAATGGAAAAGATCGCGCAGCCATTTTGCCTCATGGTTAACACAATCCCCGTAACTGCGCGCTTTCTTGTTTTATTCTGTATCATTATTTATTCAATTTTCATTATTTAATTATGTAGCAAATAAACAAAATGGAATCTTATTTTGCTAAAATAAATATGTACAATAAATGTTATAATATTCAGTTCCACCAATGCTATCAATACCAAATCAACTGGAAGCGGCCTATATAGGACAAGACGTTGTTCTAGAGTGTCACACCGAGTCGTATCCGTCATCTATCAATTACTGGACAACAGACCGTGGAGACATGATTATATCAGGTATGCACCGTGTGACCGGTTAGGACGCCACTATACCCACATAAAAGTAATAGACTCATAACATACAATTTGCACCTTTCAGGAAACAAATATATTACTTCCTTAAGCGATGACGGGTACAGTCGCATAATGAAATTAACAATAAGAAAAGTTTCAAGTAAAGACTTCACATCTTATCGATGTGTTGCAAAAAACTCGCTCGGGGAAACAGACGGTTTTATTCGGCTAGATGGTAAACATTTTTAAAATCTCTTATTATGTGTTTATTAAAAGCCATTAACTTTACCGAATATTTTATACATATTTTAGAAATCCCGGCACCCTCTACGATCAGCACTACGGTGAACTACATCCCTACGTTTCCCCAAAAAAAGAAAGGTAATCACAAAATAATTTAAGAAAATTTAATACAATAATCTATTTCACAGTTGGTGTTAAAAATACTTTACAAATGCTCGAATTATGAAAAACAAATAACCATTCTGAACCGAATTATCTTTGTGCATGTGTCTATATTTGATTTTTACTGTAAGTATATTCCAAAAAACGAAACTGATAGCCACACCACATAGGTAAATACTGAACGTTGACAATTAAGAGTCCATTTGTAAAAAAAACTATATTGTTGTGTAGAATCGCTTATCATTTATTGTAGTAATTTTAGAACGGAAAGACAAGTCCGAAATTTGTTATTGAGGAGCCTATGCGGTATTTATACATTCATTGCACTTCTGTGGTCTACAAATGTAGTGTAGAGGTCGATCGTGGATTTTGTATTTATTGGTTTTGCCACCGTAACTGAATGCGTCCGTAGAATTGGGTCGTTAGTAACATTATTGTGCGAAAAGCAATTTTGTTTGCTCTTTGACTTTCAATTCAATCTGTTATTATAATTTTCATATTAATGTTTTCACTGTGTTGTTAGTAATTTATTTAAACACATACATTCCTATTAGGGAAAAATAAAAACCGTTGGAGAGAGTCGTCGGCTGAAAATAGAGTAATCGGTGATTATGAGGTTGAAGAATGGAAAGATATTGGTAAGTGGTTTTCATCTAAATAATTATAAAGTGAGTTAAAGTTTGAGTTTAAGTCTGAAAACAAAGTTCTTAATTAAACTTAAGACAAAAAGCCTTATTCATACGTGAAAAAGAACTATGGTGCAATCAGACGCATGTTATACGTGGACCGCACTAAAATTTTCCCCTCTGTAAAAGAAAAAAATACTATTAAAGGTTAAAAATTACTTTATTGTTTCACAAAATATTTCCCTTTGCGTATATTAAACCAATTTTGAAAACATTTGTGCCACTCCTCTGTGATGACCTCGTAAACGTGTTTTTCATATTCTTCGACAGCCTCTTCTGGTGATAAAAACCGTTGACGTTGAATTGGTTCCTAATTTTTGGCAACACAAAAAAGTCACAAGTAAAAACAATTGACAGTCAGATGCATTCTACAACAGCCAAAGAGTTCCATATACAAATGTTGTAATTACTTTATAAATATTGTTTATTTAAGTGGTCAGTTCCGGAATCTTTTAGTGTGACCTTGCATGTATGCAAACGATACAACTCATACGAAGAGGCATAATTATGAAAAGAAAATATTTATCCTTTCCGTTTCTTGTTTGAAATACTATATTAGATAGATTCATTTAGTAACCTCTTTTTTTAAACTGGAAACTTAAGACATTGTTAATCATATAATATAACCCAGATCAAGTAACCCTTATACATCTTCGTGATTAACGCGATTAGCATTGGAGAAAACTAAATGTTTTTGGTGTTTGGAGAAGTTCTGGTGCAATTTAATAAAAAAAGGGTTGAACCTAGACAAGTGATATCAATCCAACATGTCCCCGTCATACTTTCAGTTGTATCGTTTGTTAATGAAATTTTTTTTCAGTAGGTGTAATTGAAAAGTTGATAAATTTTGCGATTTTTGTGCCTTGTGGATATCGCCTACTTATTTCAGTTGGCTAGAACGTCAAAGCGCCTTGTCTGGAATACGCAAGTATTGGCGCACGGAGTGTTTTTCGCGCAAAAGCACTAAAAATAAAAAATAAGCATAAACTATATTTTATTCAAATTGTTTAGATTACGAGTCAACACAATCTTCGAGCTCAACGATAATACGGGGTACCTTACTGATTACTGCAACAGCCGCACTTACAAGTTGACATTTGTTTTATATTAACGACGCCTATGTTAATGGTGTGATACTATTTTAATATAGCAGAATTGTATTCGTGTCAGAAATCTTATTGAGAGTTGTTTCAATAGGCCGTAGTTTGTTAAAATCGTATGTATCAGAAGAAAGACGTATTTTGTAACAACTAATATGCATAAAACTATTATAAATTTGTAAATATATTTTAACAATAGCGATTTGCATTTCTTCTTTTGTAGCATAAACTATATGACGATATAGTATAAGCGCAAAAGATTAAAGTGATAAACTGTAGGTTATATTGCTATAAGCTTAACATTTTAGGCATAAAATTAGATGTCATTTCAAGTAAATACTATTTTTTTTAATATAAAAAGACTGATAGACTTTATAATTAACGTGCCATATCTGAATCATTAAATAACGCTGTAGAAGCTTACTGGAGAAATGTAAATAATTAAATGGCACTTACTATTAATGGTAACTGCTTATCGTCATCTTTTTTTATTTAAACGTTTAATCAGGTGTTTATGCTCGTTTTACTTGCTTCAATTTATATGATTTTTTCCACCGAGTTAAAATAAAAACGTATTAAATCGTAAATAATGTATGTATTAAGAAAAGGTTCTATAATTATAATATAAAATACTTTTTATTGTTTAAAATGTACATATGTATATTTAAAATGAGACAATATTGCGTGCTTTGTAAAAAAATAATAGAGACTTTGTAGTAGCTAAAGGTAGGGCCGTAGAAAGTTTTACCATAAGAGTAAGAAATAGTAAAAATAGTAAAAAGCGAAATTTACACTTCAATTGAACTCATATCAGTGCTTTATCTAACAAATGTGAAACTTCATCGAATACCTTTCTACTTCAGAATTGGAATATTTAGTTAGCCGTAGGCCTTTACGAAAGTTATATTTTCCTAATATTATTTAAATTTCTATTTTCTATTACTTCAATATATTAAGCTGTATTTGGAAATAAATATAGAAATCGTTATTGTTAGCTGTTCATGTCTAATGTTCAGAAAATAAAACATTTTTTCCAAATATTTGTCTTTTATTAAAGAAATTTCTGATTATTGTTATGAATACGAATTATTTATTTATTTACTTAAAAACATTATGGACAATAGCGTACAATGGCGGACTTAACACCATTACGTGTTCTCTAACAGTAAACCGACAAATAAACACAGAGAATAAGAAGAAAGATAGTGAAAAAATGACAATATATAAAATATTACATACGTAATATAAACATGCGTATGTAATATTTTCATAAAAAATCTATATAAAAACCAGTTCGTCTACAACGTGTGCAAAGAGATCAGGCATTTTAACGCTGAATCTATTTTCCACTCACTACTTACGTGTTTAAACCAAAATAAAAGGAAGTAAGCCGATTAGACTCTTCGAAGTTAAGCCTTTACTCTGTAAGAAACAACGTGAATATATAATAAACTGACTGGAAATAGGTCTGATCAATAGTTATGATAAAACTAATTTGTATATGTTATATGATACTTATATAATTATTTAAGTAACATACATTTAATACGTTATATTGATTATTGGGCTACTTTAAATTGCTTATAATTGAAACATGATATCGGTTTGGTGAATGGGTCATCAAACTTGCAATATTCAGTTTGCAGGTTAAAATATCGATGGTAAACGCCCATAAGTTTTCTATTAATCTAGATTCAAACTTTCTTTTTCTTAGATTCAAACGATCATCCAGGCTAAGAAGTATAATTTTTCCTGTCGTTGATTTCCTTTCAAATTACAAATTATATCATCATCATCGTAATTTCGCACTCTTTGAGTCCACTGCTGAACATAAGCCTAACCCACATACCGCCCTGAAGCACGATCTCTTTATTTTGGTTGGATAGTTCATTGTTGGCCTTTACGAGGCCTTCACAGAGACCAACCACCATGCTTGAGGTGGTCGGACTCTGATAACCTGAATGGACCAAAATCAAAATCAAAATCAAAATCATTTATTCATCGACATAAGAAACAGACATTTCATTTATCAATAGTCATATTTTTTTTTAAATCTACCACCGTTTCGTAATGAGGTTCCTCTAGCGGAGAAGAAACAGGCGAAAGAAACTCCGTAGGTATCCTCTATTTTGTAATTATTTTTTTTTTCTTAACAAAAAATTCAAAAATTATACAACTGATTTTTTTCCTTTTAGAAATAGCTTGGGAGCGATCAACTCATTTCCAGGGGTTATTGTCATTAATGTATTCATTTGTATTATAATAACCCTTTTTATAAAGTTTTTCTTTAATAAATTTCTTAAACCTGTTAATAGGCAGGTTTTGCGCATTTACTGGGATTTTGTTGTAAAAGCGTATACACCGCCCCATGAACGAGTTACTTACTCTATGGAGTCTAGTAACTGGCATTACAAGCTTGTGTTTGTTCCTAGTGTTCACATTATGTATATCAGTATTCTTATCAAAATTATTAATATTTCTACGCACATACATAACATTTTCATATATATATCGAGAGGCTAAGGTTAATATATTTATTTCTTTAAACTTCTCTCTCAAAGATGCATTCAGATCTAGATTATAAATAGCTCTTATGGCCCTTTTTTGCAAAATAAAAATTGTTTCTATATCGGCCGCGTGCCCCCATAGCAAAATACCATATGACATTATGCTATGGAAGTAACTAAAATACACAATTCTAGCCGTTTTTACATCAGTTAGACATCTTATTTTCCTTATAGCATACGCTGCAGAACTTAGTCTATTCGCAAGTTTGGATATATGGGGACCCCATTGAAGCTTTGCATCGAGAGTTATTCCAAGAAAGACAGTCGTATCCACAAGGCCTAACTCCCCCCCATTTATAAGTACATTGGTAGCACCCAAATGTTTAACATAAGGTGTTGAAAATTTCATACATTTAGTTTTATTACCATTTAATAGTAAATTGTTAGTATTAAACCAATAGACTATTTCTGACATAGCATTATTTACCTCGTCAAGTGTAACAAGCTGTCGATTGATTTTAAAAATTAATGATGTATCATCGGCAAATAAAACTATTTCGTGTTTACTCCCTACAAAGTAAGGAAGATCATTAATGTAAATGAGAAAGAGAAATGGGCCGAGAATCGAGCCCTGCGAAACGCCCATAGATACCGTCGACCCAGAAGAACTAGCACCATTAATTACAACTTTTTGAATTCTATTAGATAGATATGACTTAATGAGGTCAAGCGCGGTACTTTTAATGCCATAATGGCGACCTGGACTCTGAACGTCGTTTATGAGTGAATAAGCTCGAGGGCTCCCGAGGCTGCCTCGGCTCGGGCCGTCACTGTATTCTTATTAGTAGCGGATTGGGAGGCCGCCAAACTGACCTTAGTCGCTTTGGCATCCTCTACATGGATTAACTGGGCGCAAGAGCCCCAGAGACGTTCTCTCTCGGCTCTGGAAGTTATTCAATTCCTGTTTAGCATTGCGGTTCGAGGTCTGGATCCCAGCTCGACCGGAACCTATTGCCTTGCTAGAAAAACTTCTACAAATAACATTACTACCACTTCAAAAAGCATTGGCGCTGGGAAAAGTAGGGGCGAAAGAAAAATCCAACAAAGCTTTTTTTATTAAGAGGGTAAATGAAACGTGGTACTCGCGTGGCCCTGCGCATGGATTGATTTTGAATCGGTGTATTTGCTTCGAAGCAATGTGCGTACGTTATTATAGGACGTGCTACTGCCTTATATAAGGTCAGTTGTTCAGAAGGGACATCTTTGACGTTTTGTTAATTAGGGGATATAGCCAGCCGAGTATAAAGGCCACCCGGTTCTTAATCCGAGGTACGTTGTATTGGATGAAGCTGGGCTTAGGGTCAAGGAATGACACATAAATATTTAGACTTATTGACCTTTGGTACTGGACTATCCATGAACACAACGTGTGGTGGATACGTTTTGGATCGAGAAATACAGGACCACGCTTTTGGCGGAATTGATCTCCATCGTCCATTGCCGGAACCAGTCACCAAAGGTGGTGGTAGCGGCCTTGCGTCGATGTATCGTTTCGGGGTTTGTGTCTGACATATAGAGGCAGGTGACATCAGCAAAGAAGGTCGTTTGTTAGAACGTAAAAAGGACTGAGCCTAGCGCAGACCCCTCTACCGTGACCTAACCGACCCGAATGGGATGCGTTGAAGTGCATTCCCACTCGACTTGGTAGCGAAAAGTCTGATCACTTAGGAAGTCTCGCATTATTTATTATATAATATATTAATTTATTCGGAAAACTTACAGCTATTAAAATAGATAACATAGATAGTTGAGTGATTTTAAGTACTAAAGAAGCCATTTATAATTTTTTATGCATACAAGACATTCGATAACTCTGTATTCGTATAACTTATGTATGAGCAAGTTGTGCCAGACTGTATCGAAGGCCTTCGCCACGCCGAGAAAGAGCGCTCCGGTTTTGAATCCTCGTTGTTGTTTGAATCTGTGCTTCGTGATGCGTTGCAATTGATGGGTACAAAAAAATTCTGAAATAAACGTACTGAAGCTAACCTGTACGGGGAGCCCTCAACTGTGAATAAAGGTTAGGTTATATAGCCGTTAGGTAGCTAAACCCGTTCAAAGTTCTTCCCAAATGTCTTGAGGAAACTAAATTTCCTATATGAAGTTAGGAGAGTTGTAGGTTTCGAGGGTTTGAGGAACCCCGTGACTTCAGCATCTTTCCGTTCGGATGGGAAGAAGTTCTCGTTCATTACCGCGTTGTAGATATCTAATACTATAGTAGAATATTACCTGAATAATACTAGTAGGAAGGGGTTCGGTCACTTGTGAGATCATCTGAACACTGCGTGGCGTAGGTTTTTAATTGATTGCTCTACTTCGGTTCATGTGACCGCTTTCCTGTCAATCTCTTCAGTCATCTTGCGGAAGTATTCGGGATTGACTGGAAGCTGATTAGGGGAGCATAAGACTCGAACGAGAAGCTTAATGGGAAAGGCCACGCACCAGTTCACCTAGTCGAAGCAAAGAGGCTTTGTAGCCGTGGCTCGGTCGACCATAGTGAAAGTCAGAGGAGTGCTTATTGAACCTTATTCTGAGTGCGTGCAAGGAGGATTGAAGATGGTAGAGGAGAAGCCAACCTTCTTTCCTAAATACCGACATTACTGGCCGGAAATTTAGCTGTTTGATAGCACTGGCTCTCCTGGGTCCCATAACTTGTGCGTATATGCCCTACATGGAAGAGAGAGAAGTTGCTCCCTGAGAAGAGACTATTGAGGCGGACGGAACTGGTGGGTCATAAATGTGGAAAAAGAACGCTCATAACAAAAAAAAATAACAAAAATATATAAAGTCATATGAAACTAAGAACAGGAAAACTTTTATGTTAATAGTGTAATGTGGTTTGTGAATCAGGATATAAATTATGAGAATATGAGATAATAATTTATGAGACTAGAAATACGAATAATTGAACTTCTTACAGAGCACATCTATTAATAGAAATACCTAACGTACCGCGCTCTATCGATTTTATACAGAATGCAAACAAGTTTTAGACCGAAGCAGCCTGTTGTTATTAAACTGAAAACTCGACTCATTTTACCCCCGCACGTCATTGCTTACCTTGTTATGCTATTACTTAAATAATCTATTGATTATTTCACATAGTTTTATTAAGCAGCACTAGTTATCTTTTAATAATTCTAAGGTCAATATGGGATAATAAATAATAATAATAAATTAGGTATTTTTTTAATTTTAACGGTAACGTCCTGGCAGCCGTATCCTTTTACGTTCGATTAATATCAGCAGTGAAATTGTTTATGACAAGGTAGTCACAGTTTTTGTCTATCGAGGCGGATGATTTTTAATCATATATTCTCAACCAAAAATATTTATTTGACATATATTTGTGGCGTATGTTAAGTGTTTAAATTAGAATTAATAAGATAGTGTCAAGTCAATTCACTTTTGTCCACACCAAAATATCTAGTAAGACACTGTATATCTTAAATACAATTGAATGTAACTTCAATTCTGTTTTTGGAACGAAATTTTCTAACCTAATTAATGGGCAAGCTCGAATGGAAAGTTTTTGCAACAGTATTTTACTTTACTTTTCCTCTAGTGAAAACTGGGTATATGCCTGGTCCATTGCCACTTTAGCTTAGCAATCTCTTGAGCTACCTCGTTCACCTCGGTTTTACTATGGTCATTAAAAACTATGTCAGACAAAAATTACTGAGCATGATTTGCTTGCTAAGCAACTTTGAACTTCCTCATATGGCCAGCAGTATCGGAGAGCGTCTTAGTTTTAAGGACCATCACTGACAACACTATTTGACGAGAAGTCTATAGTCTGCACTACTTCTAGTTTACCCAACTTCGGCATATCTCCCCGTCATATATCCCTTAAGTACAACATTCATGAATACTTAAACGAAACTCTTCACCGTCGCATTGGAAGATATATCCAAGCTTCTGAACTTACGGGGATCATGGTATTAAGATCAATTATGAATACATCATCCATATTCGATTTTCCGATGACGTATACATTCTATTAGAATTTCTGAGGTCACTCGGTCCTATGCTAATGCTACCTTAACACATCACAAAAAGCTTCCGAAATGAAAATCATCAAGTGATACTAGTAAAAATTGGGATACGAAATAAACAAGAAGTACCTGTATTCTAGAGGCAACTTTACTTTCTAATATTTGTTTTGAAATGGCTATTCGTAAAATTAAATAAAGAAGTGATGTTAGCGTTATAGTCGCAGACGATATAGCTGCAATTGCAGAAACCAAACATGATCTGGAAATTTTCCTAACGTTATGAATGTTATGTTAAACGTTATGAACGTTTAAAAACAAAATTTTGAAAATGATACTTTCAATGGAATTCTCACTCAAGATATATATCAACAAAACTGACACACTCGTAGCACCAAAAACAAAATAAAGCCAGAAATTGCAATCAAAGGTGAAAAATTACAACAAGTAGTTTTCATTTAATACCTCGGAAGTCACATTACGTTACATGATGATGAGATGCTATTTGGAAGAATTTGAAATTTGGTACTGGAGGTGTTTGGAAAGAATAAATTGGACGGTGACAAATATATAATAAGATGGTGACAAATGAAGAGATTTCACAAAAAATAAACGGCAAAAGAAGTCAGGTGAATTTAATAGAAAACCGCAGAGGACAGATGATTCATTAACAAAATCATGGAAGGAAAGGTAGAAGACAAGTGGGGTAGCGGGAGACCGAGGACAAGCTTTAAATCACATTAAAACAAAAAAGAAAAAATAAATGTTGGTTCCTATAGAGAGATAATGGAAATGGCTTTGAATAGGGAAGGATGAAGGATGTTTACACAGCTAAACTACTGGGATGCTGAGCCGACAAGAGCCTAGCTCTTAAATTAAATAGAGAGCGAGAGATCATAAATCAGTATTTCTGAATCCTTAAAAAATAGAATTTTATCCCATCGTTCTGGCAGTGTACGCTCCCTGCACCATACTTCTCGGTGAGCTCGATTTCTATGAAGGATGAGTTAGTTAAAGATGAACATGGACAAGACGAAGATCATGTCTCATGTCCATATAACGCCTACACCGGTTGTTGTTGGGAGCACTGTGCTCGAAGTTGTTGACGAGTACGTAAACCTAGAACAGTTAATCTGGCTAGGTAAGTCCAACATCGATGCAGAGGTCAATCAGCGAATCCAACTCGGATGGGCAGCGTTCGGAACACTTCAGCAAATCTTCAGTGGCGACATACGGAACTAAGATGTGGTCCTTCACTGCGGGCCGTATGAGGAAGCTCAAAGTCGCTCAGCGAGCTATGGAGTGGGCTATGCTCGGTATTTCTCTGGGTGATAGAGTTCGCAACGAAGACTCCGCAGTAGAATAAAACTAAACGACACAGCTCAGAAGGTTAGCAACGTGAAGTGGCGATGGGCTGACCATGTAGCTCGTAAAACCGATAACCGCTGGGGAAGAAAGGTTCTCGAGTGGCAGCCTCGAACTGGCCATCGTAGTGTGGGACGACTCCTCACTAGATGGAGGACGACCTATGCAAACGTGCGGGAAGTCGAGTGTTTCATGGCAGTCTGTGGAGGAGGCCTATGTTCAGCAGTGGACTCAAACAGGCTGAAATGATGATGATGATGATGATGAGTTAGTTATCTTTATCATGCTATCTATTTCTTCAGTCAAAAAAAACTAAGCCGGTCGAGTTTTCAAACTATAAGTCTAACTCTCGGGCGGTATTCTTAGGTTTTTCTGTGAGTTACATGAAATGATCTTACCGAGCATAAGTATTCCTTCCTCGACCAGGATTTTGTTCTGCGGGGTCCCAGGTAATGGTTTAACGGCACTATTTACTTGTTGGCCAACACCAAAAGCTCTTTGCATTTTGTCTCTTTTCTTATTTTAATTTAAAAGACATATTTTTTTTCTAATATTAGCCAAAATTAATTTTCAAATTAATTTTTTTTTTTTCATATTGCATAAAAAACCTAATTTTAGTACATAATAAAATAATAGTAGTGTTTTGTCGAGTTGTTCCGGATATAATTATGTAATAAGATTTTATCATACTTTTGTAACTCGGTAAGTACATGTATATTTGTAAAAAGGGTACGTTCAGTGTGTCTAAAACATTATTTCAAAAATTACGCGTGACTTTCCGAGCACAAAAGTAAAATACTTTATGGAGAAAAGTGTTCCAGAAAAATTTCATAAAATTTTTGGAAGTTAGAATAAAAATAAATTCCCATGAATTGATTAAAATATTATAAAAATGAAAAGCCGTCCGTTGAATATTTTTCTTTTACAGGCACAGGACGCGAAATGCAGTATTCCATTTTCTCGGCGTAACTACGTTGCACGTTCCGAACAATAAAATGCTTTTAAAGCATCAAGCGACATAATTTTGTATATAAGTAATTCGAGTAAAAACTTTAACACAAAAACGTGTATGCCGAGTGCTCAGCGCTATTAAGAATTTTATTGAAGACATTAATAAATTTCCTAAATTCCGAATATGTTATCCATTTATAAACCTATTGTGTGTATATACACTGGGCCGCAAAATTAACGGCTAGTTAAAAAAAACTGTGTCTCTTTATTATCTAAAATTGCTTGATGAAACTTTAGTATGTAGATTATTAAAAAAGAGCTGTAATAACTCATTGTCCGGTTGCTGGCTTTTAACTCAATATACTCAAGCAGCCTGAGTTCCGGTATTGGAACCATTGACATTGTTTATTTTATGTGCTGACTGACGTGCTCAGCAGAGAAGGAAAAGATCGTGAGGTACCTGCACATTTTCGAAATAATAAAAACGCACGTAAGAAGTTATACTTCTTTAATGTAAAAAAAAGAAAAATAACTAAAAATGTTATCCACTGTTTGTGAAAAAGTTGCCGTCCTTTGAGAGAGAAATAGGGCATACAAGTTATAGTGAAATTTGGACACAAAAAATTACTGCTGCTGCACGCCATTATTATTTGCTGGCTTCGAATTTGAGATAAAATATAAATATTTATAAACTAGCTGACACCTACAACTTCGTCTGCGTTGTTCATTATATTTACAATGTATTTTATCTAGCACGAAAAGGAAATTCATTACTGAGCACGAATTTTTTATAAAAAATCGTTGTTGTGGACATAATTCTAGTTATATAATAATTATTAAATAAGTAATATTTTGTAATTAGGTATTATATAACTAGATTATGTCTGATATTCCAATTCCAGTTCAATAACAAATCACTATTATAAATCCCATTGAACCGGAGTTTGCCAGGTTGCTCAATAGAATAGAATAGAAGAATAAATGAGAAAAGCAATATTTAAATGTAATATATAAATGTGTAGATAAACACGCAATTTAAAAAAAAGTTATTAAATGCTACATATTGCTCTACATAGACAATATTTAAAACCTGAACGTGACAGAATTTTGAGGGAAATTTTTAGCAACTTGTTTTCATGATATTCTAAGAAGATGAAGTATGTATTATGTATGAGGCCTGAATATATTGTTTCAAACAGGGCAATAAGATAAAGTTTGTGTTGAATGTATACTGCTCCTTTGCTGCATATGTGTAATGAAGATTACTTCTATATAAGGTAAATTTTCTATTATTAAAAGAATATTCAAAATATGTACTATCTATATATTTTATAATTATATCTATAACCTAAAAGTATACAAATATATATACGGTCTTGCATATCAATCACATCAACGAGACTTACGTTGTTTGCCCAAATAGATTATAGAAAATCGAATCCACACCTGATGGAGGTAAGTGTCGGATTAGCCTTTCTCCTCATGTTTGTTTTGAATATATACGTAAAAGGGTTTGTAAATATTGGCAGATTTATTTGTGGCAACAAAATATGATCATATTTTGTTAACTTACATATATATGTTATTACTTTTAGATAAAAACGAATTCATTCAGACAAAGAGTTAACAATAATGTAAAAATTAAATGCCTTCTATTCCTAGGCCAAAATAGTGTGTAGAATATTAGATATTGTTTGCGGAAAATTTTACTTGTGTTGCGAAAATCGTTGACGATTACTAAATTATTTTAGCAAATATGAAGTAATTGCAGTCCCACATTATATTTTTTAATTATCATAAAGGCAACTTAGGTCATCAAACAAGTTTTCATTAATATTTGACAATTTACTCGCTATGCAATTACCATTTATCAGAACCATTCAACGAATATAACAAGTATTGAATAAAATGAAAGTCATGGACATTATAAGGGTTATAGTTTACAATTCATTTGTCATAAGCTAAAATAGTTAAATGGCGTACATGTTTAATTAACTAACTAACATGTTAAACTTTACGATAAATTTAATTCTTTAATTTAAATCTTTTAATTCTTTAAACAATTAACCAACGTTAATAAAATAACAAGTAAGGTAGGTAAGGCATTAAGTAAAAAAAAGTAAAGTAACAGCCTATACATGTCCCACTGCTGGGCAAAGGCCTCCTCGTGCAGAGGGTATCAGGGCATAGTCCACCACGCGGCCCCACTGCGGATTGGCGGTCTTCACATATCTTCGAAATATTTTTTTTGTTATTATTTCGAAAGTACGCAAAATAAGAAGTATAAAAATAAAATTCAATTGACAAAGGAATACTTACCTATGCGAAAACATTATACAAAAACAGCAAAAAGTAAAATAGTAAGAAGCATTAGCATTAATATTTTTCATTTAATTCTAATAAAATTTTCGAACACAGATTTATGTATATTAAATGTTGTGAATTCTAAAAATATTTAGGATACATAAAAGTTGTGCAGAGCATAATTGCTAAGAACTATGTTAAAAATTTCTACATGGTATACTTAATACAAAAATAAAACAGACAAACCTTCTGTTTGTATTATCTGCATTATATAAAAGTGGAAATTCTTTGTGTCGGATTTTTTCCTACACCATTCATTCATTATTATTGTGCGTGCATCCGCGAAGGTTACTTCTTTGCTAAGATATTGCAAAAAAAATGTGAAGAAGCATTGTACCGCATGCCGGATATTAAATAAATAAATTTTTGGCTGCTGTAGGTAGCGTTAGCACTATATTTTTAACCGACTTCAAAAAGGAGGAAGTTTTCAATTCGACTGTTTTTTTATGTTTGTTACCTCAGAACTTACGACTGCGTGAAGCGATTTTAATGATTCTTTTTATTTTATAGCTTGTGTTCTGTTCCCAAGGTCCCATATTAATTTCGTTGTTATTGGATGTTGGGCTCCCGAGATACTTAGGGAACTAATGAAAATCATTTATAAAATGGATACATAGCGAGATATTTGAAGTCGTTTATAAGTTATTTTTATTGCATTTAATAACATCATGGTAGATTTGTTCAAGCTAAGTCTCGACATGTATACATTGAACGATAAAAAATGGATCAGAATCGTATATCCATGCTCGACATTAATTCTGGAAAACGAAACGCGATACAAGTAATTTAACAAAAAATTAAAATTAAGTAACTTTTTAACTGTGGTAGGACCACGCATACAGGAACAGTCTTCACTGTAACACGAACGGGCAAGCCCGTCCGAGTAAGTACCTCAATCTTAAGCGAGCTTAAAGAGCAGCGTGAATTGGAAGTGTTACAGTTCTACGTCTCGTCTGGTGTATGAGTCAACCGGGGCCCATTTTTATTTCAAGCGGAAATCAATGAAAAATATCAATGGGCGGTGGTTATCACTTAATATCTGCGGAACGCCAGCTCGCTTGCCAACTTCTCACATAAAGAAATAAATTATGATTTAAATAAATAGGACAGGACATTTAGGACACATTTTTACACAACGTTCTCTAGTCCCAAACTAAGCAACGCTTGTACTATGGGTACCAGATAAGTGATAAACATACTTAAACAAACCTTTGTAAATAAATACATGAGTTCAAAGCAACTAGATGGAATTTTATAGGATCAGCACAAATTAAAAAAAATACTCTGGAAGAGAGCCACGCTAAAACTTCTGCTATTGCAAGTACGACACGGAGAACTATCACAGCCTTACAGAAGGTCGTCTTATTCCTTGTTTAATAAAAATAAAGCAATAGTTTTGTTTGAGGAGAAATGTTATTGGCCATATATAGGTAAAGAAGCCGTTTTAAAATAGTAACAAAATTATATTCAACCTCCGGAACTAAAATTTACAAATAATGCAACCTACAGAAAGCTGGTCGTGGTTAAGTTCCTATTGATCCAAACACTTTATACCCTTCTGGGCAAATGACCAATCCATGTGGTATCACTCTGCATCTTCTTCCGCATATATCACGGGAATGTTTCGATGAATTGTTTGGATTGATCCCGCTGGCTGAATTTCACCATCGGGCATCGCGCCAAAACGAAAAGTTCCGTCCACACCAGCTCGATGTGCAGCGTTCCACATCAGTGAGATTTTCAAATTTCAAATTCAAATATTTATTTGCCATAATTAGGGTTACAACGGTGTTTAGGTGTCTATTCAAGGCACTTCCTGCCCCCATAAACCACTCTGTGAAACCAGTTGCCGCCTGCGACCTTTCTGAACCGTACGACCTGGGAACCTTCAAGAAGAAAGCATATTCTTATCTAAAAGGCCGCTAACGAATTTACAAGCCCTCCGTTGCTGCAGATGTTCATGAGCGGCGGTGATCACTTTCCATCAGGTGATCCTCCTCCGCGCTTGCCCCTTTTTTCCATAAAAAAAGAATATAACTACTTATGTGAGACGGTGGCAAACGAGGTGGAGGTTCACCTGATGTTAAGTGATAACTGTCACCCATGGCCATACGCAAAACCCGTAGGGTTGCACATGCGTTATCATCTTTTAATAAAATGGGCAACGCATCACTCATTTGCTTTCTCTG